GAAGTCCGAAGACTTGAATGAACTTTATCCTTCACCATTGCTCTGTTTGGAAGACATAGTGGGGCCGACACAAAACGATTTTCTATTTTTAGCTGAAGAAATCAATATTGCTAAACGTCAATATCTGGAAAAATAAACTCAATTAGTGTCATCTTTTTATTTATTTATATTAAACTTTTCTTGAGATGGACAATTTTGATGTTACACGCTGTTTATAGTGATTTTACAACATATTTATGTTATAATTTTCGAATAAATAATTATATATATATATATATATATATATATATATATATATATATGTGTGTGTGTGTGTGTGTGTGTGTGTGTGTATGTAAATAAAAAAAGAAAGAACAGTATGATATATAATCCGGTGTTCTTATAGGTATTTTTATTTTTACAAAATAGTACTCGATGTAAATTTACAGAGCATTAATATTATAAATTAATTGATTTAAAATATGTTTTTTTCCGCTACACAGTTCCAACCATGTTTCAAAAATGGAAGCTAAAACCACGAATTTAATTTTTATCTGTAACCATGGAAACGTGATTTTAGCTGTGTCTTTTAAAACCCAGTAATTTTTAAAAGTTACTCCAAAATTCGCTTGAGGATGAAATGGAACTAATGTCTTTAATTTAATTGCAAAATTAAATTCGTGGCTTTTTAGCTTCCATTTTTGAAACATGGTTAAAACTGTGTTGCGGAAAAAACATATTTTAAATCAATTAATTTATAACATATATATATATATATATATATATATATATATATATATATGAGCAGCAGTTCTTTTTCTAATACATGTTTGCTTAAAAATGGCTGTGAATTTCTTGCATGCGAATCTCAAATTTGGATGAATAGATATTTTTCAAACGGACTGTGTTCTACAGGTAATTATTTTGCGACGCTGAGGAAAACGAATAACCCTATGTTCGCCCAAAACAAAGTTTCAAAGGGCCCATTTAAACCATTATAGCTTCATGTAACTTCGAGAACGCTAATGTGACACTCATCTCTAAGTGTAAGAAACATCTAACACTGACTTAAGCACCTATATAAAAATAGAACTCTCTCACACACATAATGACGATAACGAAAACAGGTTTGAGAACTTGCCGTATTTCAAAATAAAAAAAATATTCTCTCAGCAATTTACACAGCAGTTACAATAGCAACACCGACATCATGGAAAATAGACAATAAGTCGAAAGCTCTCTGAACGAATAAATATTTGGACATTCTTTCAGAAATATCTTGTTGGCATTCTAAAGAATTAATGTATTGTTATGTATTTTTTTTTGCTTTTTTTTTAAATCCGTTATGTTTAGTTGTTCAAACGTTTTTATAGTGGACACTACTTATTTGAAATACAAAGCAGGAGTCAGGTTTGATCGCTGCTGGAGGACACATCTTTTCATACAGAGCTCGTCATTAAGGAGGTTTTGCTTACTAATCTTTATTCTCCCACTATCAATCTCACAGTATTTAACAGAGGAGAGGGCAGAGTAAAAGCTTTCTAAAAATAGAAGTCTTGCCCCGGTCAACTGGCCTCACATACACGTAACCTTTAAAAAGAACGCAAACTGCTCGAACTCCAAACTGTAAAAATGTAGTAGCCTCACGCATAATTTCGCCATCCAAAACACATCTTTGATAATGGCTAGAAAATTAGACGAAACCGCTCGGAACAATTATAACTATGGAGGATTCCTATACTCTTTAAACCTTGTAACACGGAAAAAATGTTAGATTGCAGGAAAAAACTCAATAAAAGATTAATTAAATCTTCCTTGTCAGCCGTTATATATATATATATATATATATATATATATATATATATATATATATATATATATATATAAAAACCTAACCAGAACAAAATAAACTATGAAAACTACACAGATATACTTAACTATTTATAATTGATAACAGAAACCATTGGTTTATACCAGCGGCTTCCTATATTTAACACTTCACTTCTCCTTTTCACTCTCGCGTGGTCACGTGTGATGTAATAGGCCACGGTACGAATTTCGCTTCCAGCGTCAAGTATGCACGAGTTTGTCGTTGCTTGGAAATCTTCCATGTAAAAAAAAAACTATAAAACACTATAATTGTTGCTATGTCCGTGTATCGTTTAATTTATTGTAATGTAATTGTCATCTTTGATGATAGCGTATGTAAGTCGAAAGCTTAGATAGAATTAAAAAAAAACATGGTGATTTTCTTTCGTCTTTCAATGATAATGTTATTAAGTTTATCAGACGATATGAAAAGAATTTGGTTAAAATTAACTGACAAAACTTGTCTATATTATTTAATGAAACATGCATTAATATATATATATATATATATATGTGTGTGTGTGTGTGTGTGTGTAAGTGTGTGTGTGTGTGTGTGTGTGTGTGTTTGTGTTCATGCGTGTGTGTGTGTTTGTGCGCGCGTTTCTATTTATGAGGCATGCTGAAAAGTTGCAGGCTCGAATTTTTCGGAAAC